TCTCTCTCTCTCTCTCTCTCTCTCTCTTTCTTTTGGCTCACTTGTTCTTTCTTTCTATTTTTTTTGGCAGAGTCTTGCTCTGTCACCCAGGCTGGAGTGCAGTGGTGTGATCTTGGCTCACTGCAACTTCTGCCTCCCTGGTTTAAGCGATTCTCCTACCTCAGCCTCCTGAGTAGCTGCAATTACAGGTGCCCACCACCGCGCCCAGCTAATTTTTGTATTTTTAGTAGAGACGGGGTTTCACCATGTTGACCAGGCTGGTCTTGAACTCCCGACCTCAGATGATCGGCCTGCCTCGGCCTCCCAGAGTGCTGGAATTACAGGCATGAGCCATTGTTCCTGGTCCCACCAGTGTTTTTTTCTAGCAAAAAATTCACAAAAAGAAAACAAACTTTTTTTTCTTGGCTCAGGAACACAGGTTGCATTTAGTTGTCGTGTTTATTTGTTTTTAAAAAGTTAACATTATCCTCATTCAAAATTCACACGGTGTGGGAGGATATTCAGAGAAGACTTTGCGGCTCTTGTTCCCCCTCCTACGCTGTTCACTTCCTGAGGGTCACCAGGGTTCCCGATTTCCCATGTGTTCCCCGGAGATATTCTGTGTTGACACAGCTAGTCATGTACATACTTTTTCCCTCTTTTTATGCATACCTTGTTTATTCTACGCTGTTCTGTACTTGCTTTAAAAAAAAAAAAAACTTTAAGAGTCAGATCTCACTGTCGCCCAGGCTAGAGTACAGTGGCATGATCGTGGCTCACTGCAGCCTCAACCTCCTGGGCTCAAGTGATCCTCCCACCTCAGCCTCCCGAGTAGCTGGGACTACAGGTGCACGCTACCAAACCTGGCCTTGCTTTTCTCTTGGATATTATGTTCTGTTTTTTTTCTTTCTTTCTTTCTTTTTTGGATCTTACGTTCTCTCTGGATATAGGATGCATCTTCCTCTTGTTCTACACCGCAGAATTGTCCATGGAGTCAGCTGGGCACGGTGGCTCATGCCTGTAATCCCAGCACTTTGGGAGGCCAAGGCAGGTGGATCACTTGAAGTCAGGAATTAGAGACCAGCCTGACCAATATGGTGAAACCCCATCTCTACTAAAAATACAAAAATTAGCCTGGTGTGGTGTCATACGCCTGTAATCCCAGGTACTCGGGAGGCTGAGGCAGGAGAATCGCTTGAACCCAGGAGGTGGAGGTTGCAATGAGCCGAGATTGCGCTACTGCACTCCAGCCTGGGCAACACAGTGAGACTCCAACTCAAAAAAAAAAAAAAAAAGGTCTATGGAGTGCATAAGTCATGGTTCATTTACCTTGTCCCCTTCTGATGGGCACTTAGGTGGTCTCCATGCTTTTGTTAGCACAGATGGCACTGCAGGGAATGACCTCGAACTCAGATCACTTTGCGTGTGTATGAGTGTACCATCGGCTGAATTTCTAGAGTGGAATTGGGGCTCCATGGTTTATGCATTTGTCATTCAGATTTTTTTTTACAAAGCGAAGTTGCTCTCCATAAAGTTTGTTCCAGTAGAACACCCCCAGTATTACGTGAGGACATCTGGGTTTCCTACATAGCCACCAGCACAGTGGGGTTTTTGTTTTTATGTTTTACTTATTTATTTTTTTTGAGACAGGCTCGCTCTCTCTCGCCCAGACTGACTGGAGTGCAGTGGCACAGTCTCAGCTCACTGCAACCTTGACCTCCCGGGTTCAAGCGATCCTCCCACGTCAGCCTCCATAGTAGCTGGGACTGCAGGCACGTGCCACCACGCCCGGCTAATTTTTGTATTTTTTGTAGAGACAGAGTTTCACCATGTTGCCCAGGCTGGTCTCCAACTCCTGGGCTCAAGCAATTTGCCTGCCTGGGCCTCTCAAAGTGCTGGCATTATGGGTGTGAGCCACTGTGCCCGGAGGCAGTGGGATTTTTTTTTTTTTTTTTTTTTTGAGACGGCATCTCACTCTGTCATCCTGGATTTCAATGGTGAGATCTTGGCTCACTGAAACCTCTGCCTCCCGGGTTCAAGCAATTGTCCTGCCTCAACCTCCTGAGTAGCTGGGATTATAGGCACGTGCCACCATGCCTGGCTAATTTTTGTATTTTTAGTAGAGACAGGGTTTCACCATGTTGGCCTGGCTGGTCTCGAATGCCTGACCTCAAGTTATCCACCCACCTCGGCCTCCCAAAGTGTTGGGATTACAGGCATGAGCCACCACACCTGACCCACAGTGGGCTTTTTAGAAAGAGTTTCATTGAGGCATAATTCATGTCCCCATACAATTCGTTCATTTAAATTGTACAGTTCTGTGTCTTTTAGTATATTCAAAGTTACGCAAACATTACCACAATCAATTTTAGAACATTTTCATTACTCCCCAAAAGAAACCCTGCATCCCTTAGCCTCTCGGTTCCCCCATCTACCCCAGTCCGGGCAACCATGATTCTACTTTCCATTTCTATGTTAATTTGCCTGTTCGGGACATTTCTTTTTTTCTTTTCTTTTTTTTTTGAGACGGAGTCTCGCTCTGTCACTCAGGCTGGAGTGCAGTGGCGCGATCTTAGCTCACTGCAAGCTCCACCTCCCGGGTTCAAGCGATTCTTCTGCCTCAGCCTCCCGAGTATTTGGGACTACAGGCGCCCGCCACCACACCCGGCTGATTTCTGTATTTTTAGTGGAGGTGGGGTTTTGCCGTATTGGCCAGGCTGGTCTCGAGTTCCCGGCCTCAGGTGATCCGCCTGCCTTGGACTCCCAAAGTGCTGGGATTACAGGCGTGAGCCACTGCGCTCGGCCTGACATTATAAATGGGATCATACCCCTGTGAGGTCCTTTCACTCAGCATTTGTCGACAGTAGCGTTTTGATTTGTGCTGACTGGGTGGTGGTTTCACTGGGCAGTGCTCTGACTTAGGGTGGCGATCAAGCCTTTTTCTTATGCTCATGGGCCTTTTGTGTTTTCAGGGCTCCATTGGCCTCCAGAGGACCGGGAGCCTGCCCCGGAAAAGGGGAGAGAGGGCGAGCCAGAGAGGATCCCCCCGACCTCTGTCTTTCCATTGTACTGGTGAGGATCCCCCTGTTCCCCGCTTCCTTCCCGCATCAGCACCCATCCTGCAGCAGAGGATGGAGGAAACCCGCACCTCTGCCTGCAGGGGGAGAAGTGGAGGGGCTCAGGCCAGGGTGTATCCAGCCCCGTAACCTGGTCCCCTCTATCCTAGAATCCCTGGAGGCCTCAGCTCTCCCGCCAGCAGTGGGGGACTCCGGCAGATACCCCCTCTACCAGCTGCTGAACTGTGGCCGTGGGAATAGGTGAGACATCAGGGAGAAGGTGGGGAGATGGGAGAAGAGGCCCAGCCACTGTAACCCACCCCGTCTGTGTTCCCTCCTCCTAGCTGTGGGGCCGTCCACCCGGACATTGCCCACATGGAGCGGCTCCTGCAGCAGGCCATGGCGGAGAGGGAGCGGCTGCTCAAGGCCCGGGTGAGAGCCCAGGCCATCCTCTTAGGAACAGAAGACTGCCCCAGCCCTTCTTCCCTCAGACCCGGGAGACCCCTAGTCCCTCCTCCCTCAGACCCAGGAGTCCAGGACCCCACCCCCACCTCCTTCAGACCCAGGATTCCAGGCCCCCAGCCCCTCTACCCTCAGAACAGGGAACCTAGGACATTCTCCAGCCACCCTATCATCTTATGGGCTGGCATCCTCATTGAGTGCTTCATCCTGAATCCACAGGAAGGAACAAGAAGGGGCACGGAAGCTTCCTCAGGCCCTGCTGTCCCTGCCATCACGGTCAGTCCCACCCCTGCCCTCACGCCCACCTCTCCCTGCTCCGTTTCTCCCCCTGACCTATGCCCTTTCTTACATCTGACCCTTTCCTTTCCTCCAATGGAACAGAAAAGTGTCCGGGGCTTGGCAAGGGAAAGGGAACTGCAGAGGACCAGTTCCTGTTCCCATGACCTGTCGATGGTCATCTCTAGGTGTGGCAGGTCCTCGGGTAACTTGCACTACTCTGCCTCGGTTTCCTCTTCTGTACATTGGTGACAATGTCAGCAGTCAGTACAGAAGGACAAGTCCATGCTGGGACTTATTCCTGGCCTCTAGCAATCCTCCTACCTCAGCCTCTCAGAGTACTGGGATTATAGTGTGAACCACCATACCCGGTCCATGCTGGAACTTTTCAAAATCATTTAAAATTTTGTTTTTGGCCGGGCGCGGTGGCTCGTGCCTGTAATCCTAGCACTTTGGGAGGCCAAGGTGGGTGGATCACCTGAGGTCAGGAGTTTGCAACCAGCCTGGCCAACATGGCGAAACCCCGTCTCTACTAAAAATACAAAAATTAGCCAGGTGTGGTGGCACATGCCTGTAATCCCAGCTACTCAGGAGGCTGAGGCACGAGAATCACTTGAACCCGGAGGTGGAGGTTGCAGTGAGCCGAGATCACGCCATTGCACTCCAGCCTTGGCGACAAGAATGAAACT